TACGGTTCAATATTATTTATCTTTGTGCCGCTCGCTACCCACATCGATAGAATCTATAATCGTCTAGAGACCGAGTTACACTGAACGTCGATCTATATTCTATCTCTGCCTTTTGCACTTGGTAGGGAATAGGGAAATGCTTTTTTAGTGGGTGTAAACGGACTTGATTTAACCCGTCCTGAGAAACGTCATAGCATAAGCGTAGACGAGGGGTCTAATTCCATGGCTATAATAAATTTATAAATTAAAAAAACACAATTGGGACGTTTTAAAATGCTGTAGGTAATAATTAAAATAGATCAAAGTGCCTGTTATAGCAAACCGTGAAAAATATTAGATGTTATGTTTTATTATCTTTTTTCATTATTTTATATATCTTGTTGCCTTTTACGCAGACACGCCAATGGATTTTCGTTCCCGGCACGCTTCATCTCCCTTACTAGTCCAAAAGCTAGCGATGAATCACTCTCTATAATTTCAACCGTGGAGNAAAATTAATAAAATATTTTTTTCAATTGAAAAAATCGCAAACAAAACTAATTTCAAATTCATGTTCAATACCCTGGAAACGGAGAGTTGACAAAATGTGATTAGAAAAAATCAGAGAGTTTTGTGACCAAAAAAATAATTAGCAAGTACATTATAGTATATATTGGCGGTTTTGTAATAACAAGTTCTCTAATAAAGCCAATAAAATATAAAGACTGTGTAAATAGTTTTACCTACGACCACTACTGTAAGTACTTAAAAACACACTGTCTGCAATCAATGTAAGATTCCTATTACGTACGGTAAAAAAACGCACAGTTTTCCTAGCAACGGCCAATACAATACTGTTTGTATTGACCCTTGCTAGGCGGTTACTAGGAAAACTACGATTTTTTTACCAAGCTGTGCGATTTTTTTACCGTACGACGTAATAGGAATCTTGCATTGATCGCAGACGGTATGTTTTTAAGTATTTAAAGTAGTGGTCGTAGGTAAAGTATAGTACGTAATACGTGGTGTAATGCAATTACGCACTCGCCGCTACGCGGCGTCGTGCGTAACTTTTCCATTCGTGCGTAAAATGCTTTTTACAACACTTATTACGTAATATACTATAATGTCAAATACAGTATTCGTACAGTCAATTAATTTTTATTAAAGATCGTGGTTGTTTGAGGTATTGATCTCGAGATGTCGTAGTAATATGCCAGGAAACAGAAAAATTTATAAATTTTTTTAATAATGATGAAAGCAGAACACCTAGGTTACAGAAAAATAAAATTGTTTATCATGTATTAAAAAACTTTCTGAATGCGAACATATTTGAAAATTTGCATTAACATCAATTTAATAATTTGCCTAACAATTGTAATCATTTAATAGAACTTGTAAGGGCTGAATGTGAAAAGTATATCGATGTACGAATAAATCATGAAGTCAAATTATTTAATTCGGTAAAATCTACGAAAAGGCAAATATTAAATAAATTAATAAATATTATTTAGAGGACAATAAATATATTTAAATTATTTTGTAGTTTTATTTAATATGACACTAAAATATACTATTTTCTGAATTACAAACTTAAAATTGAATATTTGTCATAAGATGCAATATAATGTTTAATATGTAATAAAAATATTACTTAATCCGGATCTGCTTAAAGATGCGCGCGATCAGATTGCCTTCCACACTCCACTTCCCCGGATTTTGCATTCACTGGTACCCGTGCATTGGAATTAGATACGGCCAGTCTAGGTGGTCTGTGGTAAGAGGCCTATACAATAGCTAGCGTTTTAGTGCCTCATTGCGTTCCAAACCAGCGTTTCTAATTCAATTTTTTTTTTATGAACATGCACCTTTTTCGTGTGCCATTTTTCATATTTTTACAAGGTGTTATTTAACTTGCCTTGTTAGTATGGGTCAAATCTTGCATCTGAATTTAAAACAGTTATCTTCAACCGATTGAGCTAAAATTTTGACAGATTTAGTTTGGATGACAATGCATGGTTAGCTAAGTGACGTCATTCTAAATCCAATATGGCGAACTCCAAAAAGATGGCGACCAGTTATTTTTTTAAGTACCCCCACGATATGGGTATCAAATGAAAGGGTTTGCTGAGAAGAATACGAAAATAAAATGACGTCACTAAAAACTTGTTTTTAAAAAAAAGTTGTATACATGAATTTATCTAAGATCTTTCAATTCATAATTTATCATTTTCGACAGAACCAGGCACCAGTAAAATTACGTGAACGAAAAAAGAAATTTTTCGATTATTTAAAGGAAAATTTCACGAAAATTTAGAAACGCAAATCGTCATTTTAGATCAACATTTTTTAAAAAGGTGCAAGATAGATGAAAATGTGAAAAGCTTTTCAACCGAAGCTATGGTGATAATGTTTTCATGCTCTGACGGTTATGTGACGATGCGAATGACTTATATGTATTGGAATAAGCTAAATAATTGGAATAATCTTTATAACAAGGATAAGCTTCAATAGTATTTAGAAGTTGTTTCGTTCGAAATAATGAATTCATTCCAAATACATGCCTTTATATCAGACATATTTACCTTTCGTACTTTACGCGACCCCAATACCAGAAGCACTCAAAATTTCAATAAGATTAAATAAATTAACGTGATATATCGGCGATTCTGTGTCAGCCGTCTTGAATTTGAGATTTTTGACTGCAAATTCAGTTTTAGCGACCTGAAAAACATAAAGTTCCCACTTTTGGTGATGACCTTTTTGGACTTTTGTCCAGCTTTTTCGGATTTCCAACCACTGTGCGACATGATTTTCTGAATGCAACCATTGTTTTGGTTTGAACATTGTTTATTTATAGAACTATATAAACATAAACAATGGTTTGACACAACCACAACCAAGGTGAATTTCAAGTGTCGTCTTGCCACCTGACAAATTGGTTTAAGAGATGAACTCTCCTAATTTCACGCCATGAGAAAACCTCATAACATAACAAGGAAAAGAGAGAAGTGTAACAACGTCTAGTAAACAATTAAAAATTGAGAAAGTAAAAAAGTGAACTGATTACGACTCTGTTACTAACCGCGTGCCCCGAACTCTAAACTTATTAGTCTTTTACATTTTATAGAAATAAAACCATATTATGTATGTACCAGATTATGATTAAGCAGATTTTTATATCTGCAGTTTAAAGTGCAGCATATTCCTTGAGAGGGATGGCAGTCGATTCCAACTTGTTTATTTACGTTGCAAGAGTCTTCTCGATCTCTAGGAGTACAACACGGATCTAATATTTTGCAATCCCATGTTGTGCCACAGTCACAGGTTTCATTTCCCTCGATGATTCCTGAAATGATGAAACATCGGGATAAACTAAAAATGTAAATTTGATATTGCAGTTTACACAGATATATGATACAAAAGGCACATTTAAATTAACAAACAGGGTGTTCTACTGTTTAAGGACAAACCACCAATTTTTATAATTACCGTTTCCACAAAATGGACTTTCATAATTCTGCAAGCAGTGCCCTCTACTTATTACAGTTTTCATGATTAATCTTTTACTACAACTGGAGAAAGTAAAATGTTTTCTTGTAATATCGACTGGCGTATATACTTCCATAAGATGCCCCATACATTCTTGAGAAAGATCATGGTAACTGCCAAAACTATGTCCAAGTTCGTGAGCCACACAAAAGTTAACAAGAAATTGGGGCATCGCATGTCCTAAACGGAAATTGAATTTGTTTAATTATTAAGGAGAAACAGCAGCAAACATACGGTAAAGTATATACAAGTTGTTACAAAAAATCATTATCAAACTTGGAAGTTGGAAGGAATATTCTACAGCACAAAACAAAATTTTAGAGAAGGTCAGAGGGCCTTTCGATTTGGTAAAAATGGTAGCTATAGTAGCTAATAGCAACTTAGAGTTACTCTGAACTGATATTAGTTGCTAATAGGTACTATTTTTTGTCAAAACGAAAGCCCCAGAATGGTTTAAGACACTAATTCAAAAGAAAATCATATAAAATATGTGTCAAAAATTTGACATTGTTTTATTGACAAAGAAAGTAAGTTGTCAGTGTCAGTGTGTGTATACACTAAAGTTAGTGTATGGAGAAGCTGCGCATTACCTTTTGCTTCTCAGAAGAGGTCATGCGCGTGCAGCTGTTCGATAGATGATCATGGGCGTAGCTACAATTTTTGCTTGGGGCCCTGCACACCCCTGCCCCCCTAGCTACGCCCATGTAGATGATATGTAGATGATTACACTACAGCACGTTTATTGGTGTTGGCCAAGTGATTCATTTAAAACGCGCAGAAACTCTGGGCGATATCGAACTATACTGTAAAAAAAATTCTTAGTATGGTTGAAAAAAGTTCCTCACCACACAACGCATGTCATATGCGAGTGTGGGGAACTTTACGAGACCAGTCACTGTATCCAAAATTGTGCTAGCAGTGTAAACTTCTGTTTTAATAACTAAATATTTCAATGGACGAAATCAACTGGCATATTTGGACAGATCAAAATCCAAAAGTAAGACACCATCGGTTTTCGATAAACTTGTAGTTACAACAGCGCATCATATTTATGATTTCTAACTGAAGATCTACCACTTTTGTTAAAAAATGTACCATTAAGTGTACGACAAAATATTGTTTTCTCCATGATGGGGCGCATTTTGCTCATGCAAATATAGTTGACACCGAATAGAGGCAAATTGCAATTAAACTTGCAACAGCCCTGGGATATTTGAGCGAATACAATACTGCTAAATAGATTATTACTGTAAGCGTTTATAAACCTATGTTTATTGTTTATAGATTTTTTTCTTGTTTTATGCTATAGAATACTCTCTTCAAGTTTGATGGTGATTTTTTGTTACACCCTGTATGTAGGGTGTATTCTTTTTAAACGTACTAATTGAATTGAATCACAGTTGATAGAAGACTTCATTTTGAACTTCATTTTATTGAAGTCATCAATAATTTCCTAACCGAGACAACAGTGTCGAATATCATTTTTTTAACCTTTTTTGTGATATCTAAATAAGTAACTAACGCAACCATATTAGATATGTCTTGTAGCGACAATGTTCTTTAAAAATGACCTACAAACTATTCATATTCATACAACCACCAGTGGCGTAGTAGTCAGTGTTCCTTTTTCCTATTTCGTTTTTGAAGTTTCATGACATTTTTCAAACCGCTGATTAACTGTAAACGGAAAGCTGCTCTTGCAAATAAAGTGCACATAAAATTACACAAAATTGTAGTTGATTCAGACAGATCTAGTAAACGATGGACTTGTTTGGTGATCTTTAGTTGTTAGTAAGTCACAAATAAATAACTGTCAGTACCATTGTAAGTAATAAAACGGATAGGCGGAGGAGGTCCTGTATCATGACTTCAACGTTTACCCGACATTAATCCCCTTGAATCTACTTTAATTTCTGCTTACGACTATATATTGTTCTGTAGTTACAGTTTGTTTTTCAATGCCTGTTTTCAAATAAATAACGCCATAGCAAAGTCTCTATGGATAGGTATATAATAATTATTACTTTTTCAGTTCAATTAAAATTTTGTGTCATTTTTTGTGTGGGTTTCTCATCATTTCCTCAGAACCCTTTAATTGTATAACAATTTTTCAATAGCTTTTCGTTTAATATTGATTAGTGATGTCAAAAATATCAGAAAGTTTAAAAAAAAAGTTGGTCGTAGAAATTCTATTTAAAAAAGGGTACTGACTACCCGTCTCTACCACGCCACTGGTGGTTGTAGTGACACAAGACATACCCAATTTTGTTTCATTAATACTTGTAATCTAAAATATAAACAACAATTACCACTTTTGAGCCTTCCCATAAGAGCAAGCACATTGGAGTGTCTTTCTGGCATATCTTCAAATGGCCTGTCACAAATACCCCCAAAACGAAATGTAAAGGCCTTTTTATTCGTTGGTTCGGCAGTGTAACTAAGTCCTAATACATTATTCTTAAATATGCGACCTGTAAAAGCTATTCCCAAACAAACTTCGGTCAATAATGTGTACTTCGAAAAATTTTCCAAATATTCTGAACCTAAAAATTCAAAATGCGTGATAAAAATTATTTTTAATAGAGATATGTCAAAGGGATTTGTGTTCAACAGACACATTAGTGTCTACACAGACTATATAGCTTAAGTGAAAAGATATATATTGTCTGTGATACCTATTTGTTAATTATTTATTAAATTCTTGGTTAAAATCATTTAGTCAAAAAATTATAATAGAATAGATTATTAGGTGGTAAGCATTACTCTAGTTCTTCAAAAATCATGTAAAACATTTGTAGTCATTTCATTACTGCTTTCAGATGAATATTGCAAGGAATAATTGATAATTGCAGATCTTATACTGTTTTAATTTTGCCGAAATTCAATTGCCAACGTGAAGGAAATAAAATTAATGTCACGTGGCTTGTAATATTTTATGATGGTTCTGTAAAGAACTCGTTTTTAGAGCGAGATTTTAATTCAACAAAATTGAGTTAAATTTTAGTGTGAATACGACGTCAGTGTTTCTTTCTCATAATAAAAATTTCTATCTCATAAATTTTGTAAAACTCGCTCTGAACAAAGTTACAGGGTCTTTAATTTTTCGTTGTAAAACAATATATGTGATTGTTTATATTGAAAGTAACCATAATTACCATCAACCGCAGACGTTGTATATTTCGGTAATAGGTTCATTGGACTACTTTCAGTTTGCAGGACCACAAAATATTTAATGATAAATCCAATGTTGTCGGGAAATCCATCGCTGTCGAAATCAGTAGATCGAAATATAGCGTTTACTTCTTCTAAAGAACTCAAAACTTGTGCCACGGCTCCTCTCAGGTCACCATTATGAATTAACGTTAAGAAAGAGTTATCGATCAGAATAAATAAAGTACACACTTTGCTGCAAACAAATGGACGAGTTTAACAAAATACGCGCAACAACTTTATGGCAGATGCAGCAGAACTATCTCAAAAACTATATGTATAATACCACAAGGAAATATCTAAAAGTAATGATTCTAACCAATCTAACCTAACTCCATGTTAATAGGGGAATTGTTACATTACCTCAATTAACTCAATCTTGACCCTGGGCAGCAAAATCTTGCACAAGACACTTATACAAGACTGCTGAAATCAGCACCAGGTTTACTGCAAGATTCATTGTGCAATTGTCTTGATCAAAACTTTCAATGGATTTGATTCAGGGCACTTAAGCATAAAGGGGTAAATTAAAGCAAGTGACTATGTTGCAGACTTAAATTAGAATTAAGTAAAATTAAGTAGACTTATACTAATTCACCCCTTTGGACTCAAGTACTTTTGGTTAAGACTGGTGCAAGTATTGTAAAAGTATCTTGCATAAGAAACGATATAAATTTCAGCAATAGACACAAAACAATCTGGCACAATTTGGCTATTTCAAGTAAACTTGAAACAACTTGTATTAGAATTGCACACAATTATTGTGCTACCAAGGGAATTGGACATATTGGACTGTAGTCCAAGCATTCTGTCACGGATTAATGTTAAATTTGCAGAAATTATTACCTGAACAAAAAAAATATGACCGTATAGAAAATTAAATTTTAAATTGAGTTTCTTATTTTTTAAACTCGATCCAAAATGGCGAACATGGTTAAAAAAAAATCGCAAAGTTGCAAAAAACGGTTTTTCTAAAATTACTAAAAAAAATAAAAAATATAGCACGGATTGAAAAATTTTAAATGAGAAAGTTGTAGGTTTTAAAAAGATCTATCGACTGATTTTTTGAAAGTATCGATTGCTTTGTTACTTTTCGTGATATATCGAAAAAACCGTTAAAAATCTTCTCTTTTCTCTTCTTCTATTTACGGGACTATTTTGCTTCTAAGGCGAAAATGACTAAAATATTCGTGTTTAGCTACCCCAGATTAAGTGCAAAAGAATTTTTGTATGTGGTCCAGGGTCCAGAAGCCGAGATATCAAAAATTTTGCAAGCGCGAGCCATTTAGACTCCATGTCATCAGTTTTCAGAGCGAGCGCGCGCCGTTTCCCCCTCAGTGCTTGCACACTTCAGTTTATTACTCAGTTACTATTACAAAAAATCAAGTAAACATATCCTATTTTTTTTTTTTTTTTGAAAATATAAGTATTCAATATTAACCACCAGCAAGCGCATCGCTGTAAAATGTTAATTGCGTCCTCAAAATTTTTTTTAAATAAAAAAATTATCTCGGCTCCAGAAGGTCGTAGAAAAACATTTTTTTTTTAAATTCGTGAAAAAATGTCAGCAGTTTCTTTCTTTAAAAGTCGTTTTCTTAAAATAAAAATTGAAATAGTTATTTGAAAAAAACGTCATCAGTTTTCAGAGCGAGCGTGTGCCGCTTCCCCCTACTTCTCCGTCCGGTCTAGCTGAGGCACTCAGCGCTTGCACGCACATAACACTTTTGCACGCTTCAATTTATTACTCAATTACTAATACACAATGCTAATATTAAAAATCAAGTAAACATATCCTACAATTTTTTTTTTGAAAATATAAGTATTCAATATTAACCTCCATCAAAATCTCTGTAAAATGTTAATTGCGCCCTCAAAATTTTTTTAAATAAAAAAATTATCTCGGCTCCAGAAGGTCGTAGAAAAACACTTTTTTTAAAATTCGTAAAAAAATGTCAGCAGTTTCTTTCTTTAAAAGTCATTTTCATAAAATAAAAATTGAAATAGTTATTTGAAAAAAAAACATACCCAAAACAACTTTTTCAGTCATTTTTTGATCCTTAAAATTCATAAAATTGTCATCATTTTTTAACAGCATGATAATATAACTCTTTACGAAGAAAATAAACCAAAAATCGTTACTGTAGGGCTATCCGCTGAGAAGATCTAGCCAATTTTCGAGAGCGCCTTTTTTTCAAAAAATCGATATATCTCGAAAAATAATTAATATTTTTAAATTTTTCAAAAATGTACTTTTTTGGCTTGCCGCGGGCTATGCTTGCAGTAAATAGCAAATATGGGCACGTAAATGTAAACGAGTTATAGAAGAGAAAAGAGGAGATTTTTAACGGCTTTTTCGATATATCTCGAAAAGTAACAAAGCAATCGATACTTACAAAAAATCAGTCGATAGATCTTTTTAAAACCTACAACATTCCCATTTAAAATTTTTCAATCGGTGCTAAATTTTTTTAGTTATTTTAGAAAAACCGTTTTTTGCAACTTTGCGATTTTTTTTTAACCATATTCGCCATTTTGGATCGTGTTTAAAGAACAAGAAACTCAATTTAAAATTTAATTTTCTATACGGTGATTTTCTATACGGTGATTTTCTATACGGTGATGTTTTTTTTTGTCCAGGTAATAATTTCTGTAAGCTTTTCTCTATAATGCTTGGACTACTGGAATAGAAATAGAACCTGTCAATTCATTATGGCTAAATCAAACAGTAACAAGTTAGTTACAAAAAATGTCGAGATATAGTTTTATTAATAATCTGTAACAAGTAGGTAATAAATTAATCTATCTAAATACGGACGACAAATTTCAATGAAAAATTGTGAGCAAGATAATAAGTTATATTCCAAAAACATGGCTAAGCTATCAGATAAGTCAAAATAAAGGCTGATGCTTGGCCCACAAGTTCACATCCCCCCCTATAAAGGTGGTTTTAAGGCCTACATTGAGTTATCATTCTGTGGTACTACCATCAGTCCTATTTTTAATTTCAATAATATTTAAGTATAGTAGATATAGTTACATTACCCAGCTCCTATTATTTTTCTAAATAGTTCATGTTCACCTCTGGCCGAAAAATCTACAATTTTATTATTAAGAGAACTTTCTCTTCTACTTTGTGCCAAATATGAATTTGTCAAATCTCCTTTGAAAATTACGGCATTGCCTCCCAAATTTCGAAACTTTTGATATATTTTTGGATAATTTCTTAAGTCTTCTACGTAATAAGCAGTAGTGTCTACGAAAATAGTTCCATAAAATGAAGAATTCTTTACATATCCAGAAACAGACGAGTTTTGTTTTGAGAATACGAAACCCTGGACTATATCAAAATACTTTTCATTATTGGTATAATCTTGTGTTATATTATCTTCATAAACAAAAAAATTAGTTTTAGAATCAACTAGCTTGGTATTTTTCAGTTGGAAGAACACTTTATAAACTATATTCTTTTCGAATTTTATATCACAAGTACAGTTTTTTATGTTTCTTTGGAATTTCGTAACACTGGCAAAAGTCATTAAATGTGTAGACGTTACATAGTACTCTGAAAACGGAATTCTATTAACATTGTCACTATACAAATATGATTTGCAAAATTGCACTAAAATAATTATAAAAAAATTTGTCTTAAATATGACATTCTTCTTTGACATTGACATTGGTAATAAAAAATTACTAAATATTACAAAATTATAATCAATTCCCTACTCATACACTTTTTTGTCGTAAACATCTTTAGTATGCTTATTAGCCTTGTTTATGTATTATAAATAAACAAGTTATTAATATTATAGTATTATCGTTGTGTGAGAAATATTTCACTCAAGGGTGTTATTATAAATTATAGTTTAGTTTATGTTAATTAATTTAATTAATTTATTTAGGCAACTCGTATTACATACATGTATTATGAGTTTAAAGCAAGTAAAGCTACCACCCACAAAGCATAGAATATTACCACTTGACTCAGTGGCGTAACCCGGGAGAGGGGGAGGCCAAAGATTCCTAAAGGGACAGGTTCCCTGTTCCCTGACTTTCTACGTACTGGGTATGCCGATCGCATCGCGTAGGTACTTGATAAATGCATCGCGGTCTGTCATAATTTGTGTTGAGCGGAGAGTCTGTACATACAGTAATATGTGCTGTACATGTTTTGTGGTTATGCATTTTGATTTTGGCTATTTTCTGTTGTGATTTTTGAGATATTTTTTGTGATAGCGTCTGAAAACGTTTAGTTCCCTTTTTATGTGATGTTCAAAGTTTTTTTTATATCTACACTATTATTTTAAGTTACCAAATATAAAACCATTTATATACTATAAAAAAACAATATATTATAAATATAAACAACTTTTATAACTAATAAACTAATATTTTCATTTTAAAACCGTTTTGCTGCAAATTTTAAGAATTTTTTTAGCCCCCTCCCCTAGCTTTACATTCTGGTTACGCCACTGCACCTGACTACCTGTTTAACACGTATCATGTAATGTCATATTTGTTATGCAGTGATGCCAGAATGAGAAATTTTTCCCTTGTTCTAGGGAAGAATAGAAATAATTTCTGAAACAAGGAAAAGAAATTTGATTTGATATAATAGAGTTTGTACAAAATAGAAAATTTAGGACTTTAATACATTTTTCATAGATGTAAATCAATTAACTCAGTTACTTTGTTTTTGGTTTCCTTCGCTAAATTTCATAGTTTTGTCTTCTTCTTACGTACTACCATAAATAAGGGTACTAGGTACTTAAAGCAACTTTATAAAACGGATTAGGAATTTTAGACAATTTCTGCTTATCTTTTAGATATTTTCAAGTCTGCACAATCTGGCATCACCGTTTCTTGAGTTTGTTCATGTTATGTTATTTGACATTGTCATTGTCATTTGTCAAAAATTAAGTTAATAAATAAAATACATTTTCCTATACATTCGTGGCATCCACATTCCACATTGCTTTTTAATTGTCTTGAAAAATGAAAAATGAATGATGTAGAGAAAAAGCTAGCAAAGTACAGGGCACAAAAAGAACGTGAGACCAAATACAACAAACTGAAAGTAAATTTTAAAAACAAACTGGCCTCATATTTTACTTCTAGTGAAACAAGTAAGGATAATGAGGTAATAAATAGTCAACTATTACATATCTTCAAGAAATACTACTTTAAACTATAATTATAAATAACACCGATATATAATAACATAAATTTTAGGAATCGACAGAATGTCTTTTGAAGTCAGAATCAGTTGAAAATTTCACTGAAACTATTAAGGACAATTTATCTGATGATTCCTTAAGCGCAGATGATGATCATGTAACCCTAAATTGTTGTACTTATATGGACTGTCTTTATTACATACTCTGTTTTATTTTATGGGTAACAGTCTATGTAATTTTTATAAAGTTACAATTTGGGACAGTTTATTTAATTATATCAGGATTAATAGGCATATACTTAAACACCAGAACGGGACCTAAAACTAAGGGTGAAGTTAGTGCTTATTCTGTTTTTAACAAGGACTGTAAGAGTATAGATGGAACTCTGAATGCTGAGCAATTTGAAAGGGAAATAAGATATGGACCATCTGTTATTCATTAATAGTTTATTTGTTAATGTAAAGATAATTTTAATTAACACAACACTATTACATTTGTTTAAAAAAAATCACTTATTTTGTGAAATAATAAATGCCTCAGCAGTACTAACACTGCACTCGAAATATATATTTTTTTTCTGTGTAAAATTCTTATTTAAGAAATTTTTTTTATTTAATCAAATTTGTGAAAATATAATGCCTAATAAAGTTGTTTTCCATTCTTTTTATATAAATATTTTTTAATAGATGTACCTACCTAAAATAGTCATTTTTCATTTTGAGCAAAGAAAGCCTAAAATCCACATTACTCATTCTGTGTACCTATATAAAACTACCACATATTTTTGAAGCTAACCAAATACTGCTCTATCCAAAGTTGCTTTATTAGTTTCTAGATTAACCAAGTACCGCCATTAATGTTCTTGTTTGCCCAGAAATGGCAGTTTTTCTTATGTCAATTTATGCTATCAGTATTTACCAAAATACTAATAACATTGTAATACTATAAATGGAAATACTGAGATACTGCCTACTGAATTGTTCAAAATATGTGAAAAGTAATTACATAATGATGTATTTGATCTTATATTTGTTTCTAAACAACCAATAACAAGGATTTGAAGCTCAGATTATTATATTATGTTTTCTGGCTCACACTTGCATTTAGTATTTGCCTCACAAAACATATAAAAGATTTGCCTGAATCCACATCACACATCACGTGCATGTGTGATCACGGATCGTTGTAACCACGTGACCATCACCTTTTTGTCTTTGTCTATGACCATCACCAACTATTCCGATTTGGCGTTGATGGAGTGTCACACAAAATATATAATATATGAGTGTCACGTCGCTTTATTGATGGTCACATGGGTTACAAATGTTACAAAGAATCAGTGATCACGCATGCATGTGGATCCAGGCTTATTAGTTTATAGACATCCACATGCACATATTGTAGCTAGGCTAGACATTTTTGCACACGTTTCCGCAGTATTTATTTTATTCGTTCCACACATATAATGATCCACACCTCAGCCAAACCCCTCGTATACGTGATTATCTTGATAATAGTTATTAGTTATAGTGTGTTAGTATACAGGTTCGGAAAGTCCCCATGGTACATCGGCCGTTACGTGCAGGGCCCGAGAACTTATATTTGAAAATATGGGGAAACTGGGAACCACGTGACTTGAGATGGATATACAAGTTGGGCAAAGAGTCTAAAGATTTTGTAGAATAAATTTTGACAATTGCAATTATGAATCATTTCATGTCATTCTGTGTCATTCGTGTTGTCCATATTTATTGTTGGTTAGTTTTGGCGAGTGTTGGTGTGTGTTTTATTTGTGTTTTTAATGTGTTTTATTCGATGATATTTCATTCACATTTATTTATATAACATAATAATGTCTGATCATCATATAATCACATTTTTTTATTAATAATAAAATGTTTTGTTTTTTTGTTTTTTTTTTAATAAAAAAATGTGATCAGAGGTAGGTATAGTTTTTTTTATGGATATCAACACAACGAAAAATTTAAAGTTGCATAATAAATCTCTATTACAAGAATTAATCAAAGATTGGTTTAGTAAAATTATTTACTTGTAATATTTTTTTATTCACCGTGAAAGCTAATACAATATAGAAAGCACTGAAACTCTATAATCATTTTCACTCTTTTTTTTCAAAATATGTACTGAAATTTGAAATTTTTTCAACAAACATTTTAAAAAGTTACAGTATCAAAATTATTTCTTATTTTAAGTAGGAAGACTATTAGAGCATTTAAAAGTGTCTTTAATGCTTGAGTGATTTTAATGCTTTTTATCAAATGTACTTATTTTCTCATGGTGACAAAAAAAATTATCTACGTGAAAATTATTTTACAAAATCAATTTCTGAGTGATCTGTGTAGGGTGAGATTTGTTATGTAATTTTAAATTTAGCGGCGGCAGAATACCTAAAACAAATATTGAGTAGGTAGGTATATAGTTGTAGAGCGTACAACTAGATGGCGCTTGCATCTTTTACCGGCTACAGGTAATTTAACTCACTGTATTACCGATAATTCCTAGAAAAGGAAAGCAATAGAAGTTGGAGAAAGTGTCAACAGTTAGCGCTGTTAATGACCACGAAATCTGTTCAAGTTTCCTATCTATAGTATCATTTATCTAGG